TTTTTAATTTCAAATTATCTAATATGAGCATATATTTTACAATGTATAATATATTTTCTTATAGTACTTTCGCTAGTTATCGATGTTAGTAACAACAGTTTTGACAAATTTATTATATAAATCTATAAAAAATATATTATTATAATTATATATTTTAATAATTACGTTATTAATAAAATGCAACTATTGGGTTTTATCATAAATGTTGCTAACTCTTAATATAAATAACAAGTAAAATGTTAAGGATAAAATAATTCTATAACAAGATTATAATAATGAGACTTAAAATACATCTTTTTATAAAAATTTATGATTAAAAAAAAAAAGTTAACATCACTTGAACAATATCAAATTAGATAAGATTAATATATTATGTATATTTGTATAATGGGTATCATGATATTTATATAGGTTTTCACTAAAAAAACAAAATTCAATGTATTGGCTTGAATATATAAATTATTATACAAACTCATGTAGGAGATATATCCTCAACTCATATGATTTTACAGTTGTTGATTTACTAGAATGATTAGTAATTTTAATACTTAATATTAGCAATTATTCAAACTTATTAAATTTTGTGAGTGGTCTCTTGCTTAATAATAAAAAGATTATGTAAATTTTAAAACAAATGTGATAAAGTAAATTTATTCTTCTGTATTATGATTATGTAATATAATTTTTATTGGGGTGGATAATGAAATGTTTTATTTAATATGATCATATAAATGTTAAAGGTTAATTAGTGAAATTAATTAAGTTTATATAATAAGCTTGATTAAAGAGTTTATTGAACAAGTAAGTAAAATTATAATCTAAAGAGTTTAATCAAATAGTTTACATTCTAAATAAAGTAATGGAAATTAATTATTTTATCAGATTTTTGAACTATTTATTTATTTATTTTAAAACAACAATTATCATTAATTATTAAAACAATACACCGTAAGTAGAAGGCAACTTCTCCCATACATGCAAACTGGAAAAATAAAAAGCTTCATTCGCGAGCCGATGCACCACAACATTACCATATCTTCTAATCC